GCAGTAGAGGAGACCGCGAATGCTGCACACTTTCCGAGTAAAGTCAATATCTGGAAAAACATAGCACTTTCAAAAACAAAACAATACTTTGCGTCCATTTGTGGAAGTTAATAACAAATTCGGTTGCTGCCACTGAACTTAACGAATCGTTGTAGATTTACTATGGGCCGTGCTGTTTTCTCGGCTGCTTTTGTAGCCATATATGAGTGTTTATTTTTCAAAAATATTATCAAATGTTACAGGCAAAATTATTTTAATCTTTTCAATCTACTTTTTTTTTTTTATTAATGCGTATGGTCAAACATATCTACAGTATACAGCTGTTGGTTCGCACACAGTTAGGACATAAAACCCTTATTCGGCAGCTGGCATACCGTCGGTGTCCGGTAGGTTCCAAGCAACGGCATGGTTGTTCATAACTAATGGCAACGACGAAAACCGCATCGAACCGATGAAGGCGATCTAACCACGAAATCTGTAGTCGGGCAAATTGTTTGAGAGTCAATTGGGAACGCGGTAGTCATTGCTCAGATCGCCACAGCCGGCAGATCGTAGTCTACATTATCGTCGGCGCTCGAACAAAGGTCAGAAGGAAGGACTTGGTTGCCAAGGGCTATCAACGGAGATAAACTTGATGGAGAAGACCGTCGACGAATGCTGCGTGGACGCAGAATAACCGATAGTGATGGTCAGATGTTGCGATCCACTATGTAACTACTTAAATATTATGAATTAGCAGCTGCTAACTAAGAGCTAAATGAAGGACTAGTCTTTCCTCGCTTTGCTGATGAAGTATTTTCTACAATCTCAAAAGTCTTCAGAACCCAGAACAGCAGAAACACACGGCTAGCGAAACTCTATTCAATGGCATCAAGCCGTCCATTGGTATGAATTGTGCCAATCGTACTACGGACGCTTTTGCAACGGAACATTGCAAGCCTACCTAAACTCATACTTCAATAAGCGTTCAGTAGCTGTAAACATTGCAGATCCAGTAGAACTTCTGCTTTGAACACGCGAGCCTTTGAGTCAGGTGAAAGAGTTCACACGGCAGACATTCACGGCTGTGTAAAAGCTGGTCAGCAGGTAATGGAGTTCATAAAAGCATATAGAGAACAGTGGCAATTATGTTCTCCTTCGTATATCTATGAGAATTGACGAGTTACAAATTTGAAGTCGCTGACGATCCGCTCAAGTTTACTAGTAGTTTTCTTCGGTTCAATAGCATTCTGAGTCTTTTGCAGTTTTAGATCGCTTACACCCTTGCCAATCGAAGGACATTTTATAGAAGTAACAACTATTATTAATGACACAATTAGAAACGTGGTTAAAGCGCATTATACAATACCTTGTCAATAATATTCACTTAACCCTTTTGCACAACAGCGTTTTCTTCAAGATTTCTTCAAGGCTATGTTTCGCGCCATCTTCATCCAAATTTTTTTTCTGTGAATAGATTGTGAGTAACAGAGTCTGGATATCGGAGATCACAAATTTATGTTTCCTTGGTAACTTATCGGCCGTTTACCATTTAAAAAAAGGTACGTGACGCGAACAAGCTAATCGAACAAGATTAGTTTCAGGCATGAAGTTTGCCCGCTTCCATTTTTCAAATATATACTTAAAGGTTTGTTAGCTGTTTTTAAAATTTGCCAATAAATTTTCAAACATACCCTCAACGAGCTCATGTTCCTGAATTTTGTGACTGTAGATCTTAATAGGTGAAGCTCTTCAATGAAAACAGAGTCAAAACTGAATAAAGTCATAAAAGATGTGGTTACCACAACTTGCACCTTACATTGTTCCCTTTAGTAGAATGGTTCAAGCGATGTGATTTTCATGAAGCGTTATCTTTATTTACTCATTGTCTATCAAGACCAAGTAAACGATTCCAATGTCGAGCAGGTCATATAAGCTTCAAGCGACAACATTTGGTGGGCATAAATATTAGAATATAGCTAGCTAATGTGAGCGTTGAAAAGTTCAACACATTACAGATCAAAGATCAATGTAATTTGTACATTGGTAACATATATCTTCACGAACCATTATGCGGCGACTGGCGTTCCTGCAGTCTGAATCAGATACCGATATCACCGTGTTTGCCTAAATAAAATTATAAACGGGAAATCATTCAAACGGGTATGTTCATTGCTAGCGATGACCGTTGGATCAGTTGCCAGTTTAGTCAAGTTCACGACCCTATAAAGTCTGTTACCTATGCGGTCATTCAGCACGTAACGTGCCAAATTCATTTTTCAAATTCAAAGTACAAAAAGCCACGCTCCTCTTAGCACTCGAGGTTCAACTGTGCTCTTTGAAATCTAAAATCGTTGACTCGGATAGTGTCATTTAGGTTTTAAACAGACTTTACACATGAGCTGTATAGAATCATATTTAGAAGTCGGAAAATTCCAGTGGTTTACGACCATGAGTTTTACATACAGGCGACAAAAACAGTCTGCCATATAAGCCTCATGCAAGTTCTACTACTAAAAACACTGTGAACGGTTAATTTAAAAAATTCGAAGAACCAAATTTTCAACTCGGCAATAAGTCTCATGAAAGATGCTCTGTGAAGAAAGAGTTAGGAGCTGCGGTCGAAGTCCATCCATCTCAAAATCCATATCGCTCCTAGTAATAACGGTGAGAAACGTGGACCAAAAACTGTCGCATAATTTAACTGAGTATCAAAAACGGAGACGTAGGGACGTCTACACTTTTCTGCTGTCTCGTTTAAAAAGTGACCTATTCTTGCACCGAATTTTAACTTGTGATGAAAAGTTGCATCTTTTATGATAATCAAAGGCGGTCACATCCGTGGTTGGATACAACTAAACCAGCGGAACATCAATTTTAAGTAAATGCACAAGTGCAAAAGGTTATAATGTGTATTTCACGGCCTCGTGCAGGTGTTATCGATTGCAGCTTCATGATTCCTGGTTCACTGATTATGACAAAAACGCACTATTAAAGACTGGAAAACAAGGTGAACCAAGCTCTGCATTAACCAGCCAAGATTAGTGAACACTTAGCATCACTTATGCCGACAAAGATGAACTAGTTTCTGTCATGCATTATCCTCGTCAGAGGTTGCTATTACAGATCATCATTCTCTTTCATATTTTTCGCAACTTCTCATAGGAACATGGTTTATAAATATTATGTAGAAATTGAGACTTCATAGACGTTCGCACTACAAGATCAGGATAAATAAAATACCGTCAAAATAATACAAGATCTCAGATAATAATACTACTTGCGTTAACTGAAAATAGAAGAACGAGACACGTGTAAAAGATTTGAAAAACAATGTTCGTCACGTTACGTTTCATACTGAACGACCTCGTGCAATATGTGCATATATGATGAATTTCCATTTGGTGATTAAATCTCGTTAAGGGAAGTAAGACATCGAAGCCTTAATCTAAGCCTGAATACACCACACAAAGATCTAACTTAACCTTATTCAATAAATGGCTTGTTTGTATTCACACGCACCTTGGCCGTGTGTTATCACTATGCGTGACTACGCGGTAAAAATTCCATGTCGACTGCGAACGACTCTGAACTGTATCTCCGATACAACTTTTGCGCGATGATTCCCAGCACATACTCTCGAAGCGTTTCTTCCTAACGGGTCGTTTCCCCAACGGACACTCGGGGTCTTGTCAAGGGGTGCAAGTACAAGTGCTGCTAGGTATTGCTATTTCCGGCTTTCCTGCTATAGGCGCTGTCCGGCGCCAGCTGGCCAACGCCAGCCATTATGTGCCCCGCTTGACAAGTATGGCTGGCGTAGTAGCCAATAACAAACTGAAAATAAACCACTACCATATTGAGCAATATAGCGTTTCCGTATCTCACGGTATTATTAGTTTATTTGCACAGAAAAAAAGAAGACATTTTTCTCGGCCAAAAAAGATAAATTGACCCATGTTTAGCGATCTCTTGACTCTTGTTCAGCGAAGATAGCTAAATGAAACGTACAGATTACAGCTTTTGTTCGATATAGCCTATTTTAGTGTGAGTCTCTATACCACAGAGCCGCCCGGCAAATTACTCCGTTCTAAAAATGAAACAAATTTTCCGCATGCTTAGAAAAAATTATACCCGGACGCATGAAAATCATAGCGGAATGAACTATTGGCTTTATCCGATCATATAGAAGAAAAAATACTTTTAGTGATACTTTAGACAATACAAAGAATTTCTTGTTTCATTTGATTCAGTGCAAAATTGAAAAGTCAATCTAAAGTTGAACATAATTTCCAAAATCGTGGTAAATAACTTGTCCTAATGTTTGCTTTTTGTTTAATTACACTCATCGGGTGTGGAATATGTCCGCTAAACAGATGCACGAAAGCCTATCTATTAACTTACTATAAAAGAAGTAAACACTAGCAAGTGGGATCTGAATGAGATTTACACCTCTTATTTGTGTTTATTTTTAGCTTGGTGTGAGCAAACGTCTGTTTGACCTACGCTTACTTTGAAGCAGACTAACATGTATTAGAGAAACTTTAAACATTCTTACTAATGAATCCTCGGGGCTATTGAAAAGTGATTACTTATTGTTGTAACTTGCGTGCAACCCCAATAGGTAAAAACAAGTGAAAATGAGAAGGGGTGTGGAAGTAAATAGCTAACACATTTTTTTGAAACCGAAAGGAAAAACTTTACACATAGCTTTGCCGTTTGTAATCGTCGATTTTCTTAAAATATAATTCATAAATGATCGTTTATCTGCTCGTATTCTACATTCTCGGTGCATCGTGGCTCGATTAGGTGTGACAGCTTATATTCACTTTTGAGAAAATTATATTTGAATATTGAGCCATGTGTTTGGCGGGGTCACTTGTTGTTTCAAAACGCCCGCGTTTAGCGCATTTTCGACGATCGCAGCGCTTTTTGGTTCACTATACAATTCGCACAAGATATAATATATATAGATGTTGGTTTGTAATGCGATGCAATTCAAGTTAAACACCGTCATATTCATACAGCCACTGTGCACTGTAGTGTGCTAATGGTGCTTTTGTCGTTTCGGTCGATAGATAGCAGCCATTAAGTTTTTTAAGTGGTCCCTACAAACATACTTGCCACATGAGAACTGTTTGCTAAAACGAGAATGAAGTATGTTACATCTGTGACAAATTAAGTTTAAGTGAATTGATGACAATTACTGATTTGAAATCGCCGCGTGCGGTTTTGTTTTTGTTAATACTTATACACCACGTTCTGTTTTACTCGATTCATCAAAAACGTCATTCATAAATGTAAATATACATTACGACGTGTGTACACAAGACAATTTTTGCGCTGGTTCGATTAAAGTTCAATAATATTAGCTTTTACTAGAATAGACGTTATCATTATCTATTTTGTTAGGGTATTACTAGCATAAATGTCAAACGATTTCGTGTCAAACCAAATAATTGATTCAATGAATATGTCCTAGCTGTGTTTGAGCGACTTGGTTAAAGTGTGTGCCGTGTTGGTTGTTGTACATTGAATCACGTCACGTGCTGTGAGTTACTAATACGCTATTCTTAATTTAATGATTAGACCCCAATTTAAATTTCTTACAGGAAGGATTTCATGTCGTGCAGGCTAAATACTGTTAGCTATTCGATTCTGAATGAATAATCAGCCAGGAAAAAACTGAATTACTGTAAATGCTTAATTGTTTTGTCGACTAATAATCATTATTGCTCAGAGTTACCAGACTGTGTTTATTTTTTCTTGATTTTAGGTCAAAAGTAATATCACCAGCATGGAAACATATAATCGAGGAGAAATCGTTGATGTAGATGTTGGACTGCCTTTTCCGGTAGACTTGGTCGATAAAAATGTCCCGCAACTCAACGTATGTAATTATATATCTGTAGCTATGCTAGACCTCAATGGGATTTAGACGTATAATGCAATCAGTGAAAGACTTACACATTTGACTTGTTAAATAATCGCCGTTGTCTGTTCGGTTCACAACTTCTAAATTGTGTTTAAATTTTTAAATCAGAGTTTGGTATGTCTCAGTGTCAATTACTGCTCGATAGAAGTATTGGTAGTTAAGATGGAGCAAATTCCGAACCAGAACTCATAACCTTTTCAATAGAAATCAGGGTAAGATGAAATTATTAGTCGGTGTTATCGATACAGCCACTACCGAAACCCAATCGAAATCGCTTTGCCTAACTCGAATCATGATCTTGAGTTAGGCTGCTGCTAATATCAAATAAGTGCCTCCCACCACGAAACGAAAAGTGTCCATGCCAGGCTCAAGTGCCCCCCGATTTGGCCCGTGCTAACCAACTTTCTCATATCCTGTGAACTTACTCGAATTCTACAGGTGCAAGCTGGATCAAAGATCCGTAACTTATTGAACTTCGCTCTACCGACTATAAAGGTATGCGTAGCAAATTTATAAATATTTTATAAAATTATATATTTTAATAAATATATATTGTTAGTTGGCTGAAAAATACTGCCAAATGCTAAGCGACACGGTTTGGAAATCTTTTATTGTGAAAAGTTATGAAAGTTGTGAAAATGTATTCAAATAAAGATCGCTGTGTGGTTGGTATATGCGCTTGAACAAGACATTATTATTATTAAACAAGTCATTATTATTACGAAATCGATGTTTAGGTAATTTACTCTAATTTCGTTTATATTTGCTCCGAATTTTGAGGACAACTAGGCACATCTGCATGACAATAAATTTTGGAAATTTGTTTGACTTTCAACAGAATGAATCCCAACTTATTATAGTTGGAAGTGGACTTGCCATCTCAAAAGTGATAACCGTAGCAGAGATGCTGAAACGTAAAGAACGTGGACTGGATCAATGGAACAAGATTGGCTATAAGAAGTACGTAAACAAAATTGTTATAAGAATGCAAATTTGTGACTAAGTGTATGAATTTAGAGCGAAAATGCTTGAGATATAGTCAAATATTCCTGGCAATATAAGAACGAAAACGTGATCCTTGAACGGAAGGATATTTTTGCAAAAACTGTTGTACTGTATCCAACTGAGTCATGAATATTTCATGCGCGAAAATCTTCAGTGTCTTACTTATTTGAGTTAACTTTTCACCGCTACCGAAAAATATATCTTACAGTTAGCAGAAACAGGTAATATGACATTCCCACTATTACTGTAATTTCGGTAGTCGCTTGGTGTGAGAATGTTTTACCACGCGATAGAATTCTTTATCCAATGTAAAAATATCCCAAAATAATTAAATATTGAGTTGTAGAGAAGTAAGTGTCGCATTAAACTTGATAGGTAGCGGTGTTTAGTAGGCTAGTGACAAAAATATCGGGTGCTTTTTCTCTGTTTTGCTAGAATTCTGGAATATTGGGAACCTCAGGAGGAGGGAATGTTTCGACTTCAAGTGACACGTGAGATCCCTGTGATGCACATACTGCTAAGCAAAACGCCCCTTGACCCCACCTTGTCCGGAGTCCAGAAGGTAGAGGTGAAGGGCGTCAAATATCAAAAACAGCAAAGAAACCGAAGATCAAAGCAGGGAAAAGCAAGAAAAATGGAGGAAAAAACTTGGTAAGATCCATTGTTGGCTATTATGTGGATCAATTACTACAAAAAATCAATTACATACTCTGCATGAAAACGATTATACAAAATTGTATAGATAATTTTATCAAATAAGTGCAATGATGTGCGCAGAGTTATTAGTAAATCTTCAAGATAGTAAAATAAAATTATCTCACAGGCATGGAGCTTCTGATACCGCTGCGCGAAATGAACGGTCTGAAGGAAGTCAATGCAGAACGGACCTAAACGCGTGCGTTCAAGGAGAAGAAATTGGACCAAACGAGGTGCAAAACGCTGAACCGAAATCAACATACATCGCAGAGTGAATTCGCCGGAACATTTCGTATCTAAAACCCGTCTCCAAAAGCAGAATCGAAATCGCGCTACTGCTAATCGATATTGCTCAAGCAATACGGAAGCTACGAAGGGTAGTTCAAAAAATAGGGTGAAACCGCTTGAAAATGGATAATAATACGAAAAGGGAGCAGAAGCGACCCTAGATAGATAGCCTGGACACTCAATGGAAATGGGTATCATAGAGTTACTCTGGGTCACAGAGTTGTTTTTCTTCAGATGTGTATAGATCATGTTGTGCGGTGAAACATACCTGCATAAAATTCTGCGTTTGTAAAAAAAACGATTATTTATATCTCAGCATATCTGTTCACTCGTGTATTTCCAGATAGTGGTTAGTGCGCGCACTTTAAGAAGGAGCCTTCGTAGTGTCTATTACTCTATAAAATCTATATTTCAAGCCTATGTTTTATATATATATATATTTTTTATTTTTAGTTTAAAAGCTTGACTTCCATGACGTTGAACATCAACCGCACCAAATATCTACCATTCTCGTGATCAAAGGTTCTAGTTTAGGAATCAATTTATATATATATATATACAACGGAGAGCAGATATGTATATCAGCGTATACTTACGGGTGATAGCGTCGTTTATAATTCTCGTAAATAAAATCTGCTTTTCTCGAATGGAGCCCATTTGCCAGATCTTGAAACAACTCACTAGAATTTCTCCCTAAGCTGTAAAATGTTTTCTAATAATAAATAACCGAACTAAATTACAAGCAAATGTTATATATGTAAATATATGAACATTTATATTTTCGCATAACGTTAGTTTTGATAAAATTAAGAACAACTCTTGTGTATACACATGCAATTTCCATGAAAATGTATTATTATTACAATATTATATCTAGGTGAAGGTACGCCTTATATTTGTTAATTATTAACTGTTCCGTTCAGCCAATGCTAATACTGTGGTACTGTAGCCAAGATCCCAGTATTGTTCGACGTTATGTTTTTTGAACAATTCCCGTGCTTGAACTTCTGTTTGCAGCGATTTCACCTAGAAATACGTGAACAACGAATATTAATAAGATTCTCCACTTATATCTATTCGAATAAATTAAGTCAGACGGCCACGTAAACTTCGCCTTACGCCAATTTTTTGTCGTTTATTAGTTTAACTAGCCTGATTCGTTGTAAATTATACATTAACTACACGTCAAAACTTATCTATTATAGGTTATTTTCTATTATATACCCATCCATTCTAGTATGAATGGATTCGTATTGCATTTATCCAGACGTAAACTGTAGTACAATTGCAAATGTATACCTTTATAGTTCTCCGGTTGCCATTCGTTTAAAATTCTGCTGCACCAATTCCCTTTTCCCACTGCAGCTATCCCATTAGAGTAGATCCAGTTTCCTGATTTAATCAATCTATTAGCAACATTCATCCCCTTGGACCACTCTGTTTCACGTACCCCATTCTTCTATTGTTTTAGGTGTCCTGCTGCTACACTCTGATATTTCAGCCTATTTTAATAATTTAACTTTCCTATTATATTTAATAATAAAATATAATTTAAATTATATTTATAATTTAAATATAAGTATCCGTGCTGTTAAAGAAAACAACTCATGAGTCATATGTCCCAAACATTTCGACGATAGTAAAAATGTAACACATCACATATTACCTCAAACCTTATGTTGTACCTCGTTTGAAAGTTTGAGATAACTTAGTACTTTAGTTAGTAACGACAAACTTGCTTAAATTAACAAAACGCCCAGTGAGAAAAAATGCCTCGGAAAAAGGGTTTATTTAATCACCTTCACCATAAATGCCGTTTTTTCCAGGACAAAATTCTATCGATCTATAAAAAATCTGATCCCAGTCCGACTACTCTACGAGTTCATTTCAGTTAGGTAAATAAATTGACTTAAAAACAAGGTGTGTAATGCAAAAACAGGAACGAGCAGTGAAATAGGCATTTAGTAGTATACGAGACGAGCCTGCAAGCTTCGCTGCGCGCCTATTTTTTCGTGAAATCATATAATTAGATCTTTTGACACTTGATAAATCTAGCTTCAATTATTCAATTCTAGGTTTATCTCGCTTATTATATATTGGCTTTTTGTACGCTTTTATAGTATGATTACGGGGCTTCTTTAACGCTGGCTGATTGACTCCGTTTCCGGGACGCACGTGAATAAAGTCGGTTGCCGACCGACCTTCGAGGGAGATACACAAATCTTTAAGTGGCTTTCAACCATTTTTGAATAAACATTGCAATTGGTAGAGTTAGCTATTAGTACTGTACTCAGAACGTCAGCAAAGCTTTTTATCTTTTCTTCCTTTCAATGGGTAGTCGTACACAATAATGAAAATCTGCTTTAATTTTTTTTGTTAATAAATAGTGGAACATATTCAGCCAACCAAGATATATACTTATCTTGGTTGGCATAGCAATTATGTTTCTGAAACATCATTTAAACTTTTCTAATTTTTTTATATTTTTCTATAATGTATATTTTGTATTTTTGCATATTGCTCTAAAATTTTTTTAGTAATTTTTCTAACAAAAATAAATTTTACAATAACCGCTTCAACCTTTCATATTGCATACCATACGATATATATCAGGGATTCCCTCTAAAACAGCTCAAAACACATTTAAACCCAAGTGTGGCATAGGTGAAGTGATACAACATAAGATTTACGGTAATGCCCGTACGATTACAATATAGGGGGGGGCTAGGGCACCCATCGGGGCTTTAGCTCTTGCCCGTTTTGCTATATCTATATAAATGTGAAATTATAGTTGTAACAGAAGTAACATAGAGTAGGCTAGCTATTCCCTAAAAGCTATAGTCCAATAGTGTATTCCACAAGACTGCTTAAATACATTTTTCATGCAGTATAAAAAACCACACTTATTTGCGCAACCGAATTTTCACAGAAATATACATCCGTATATTTGGTAGTATCAACGCAAACGATGCTGGCGGCTGTTATGGTATTTTTAAACGGTGCTAAGGCGTTGTTTTCAAACATAAAAAACAAAAGAAAAGTTGCTAGTCTTTGTTTACTACTTAACTTTACGCTCAGCGAAGAAAAACACACTTTGTCTTTTAGGAACAAATGTACTCAGCCCATATTTCACACAGACTTTTTTAAAAAGGAATTCTACCTACCTACAATAAACCTGTTCAATATGTGCCCCCTAAGGAGTCAATTTGGGTTGAACGAATTTGCAGATCTAAGCCTTTAGTAATAGAGATAGACAGATGATAAATAAATGTGATCCGCCTTATTAAAACAAGCATAAGGTAGGCACTGCTAACGGTTCTTTGTTTCACCATATTATAGCAAATATACCGCGTTTGCTTACCTTAACTTCTCCGAAGCTCCGCATCTTTACTTGGCCTTCCCATACAAGTACGCACTCGTTATTCACTTTTTCACCTTGGTCCGTCCCGTCTCTAGATACCTGTTATGAAAAAAAAAAGTAAACAAGTATTATATACGCACATGTATCGCGTTAACATAAAAGAATAGCTTGAGCAGAGACCTTACTATTATTATTATATATGCAGATAAAAAAAAATCTATACAGTCTCTAGAAAGTACATATATAGTTGCGCCGACTAAATTGGAACTGTTTTTGACTTGTGCCTTGCGGTTTCATGAATGCATTTAATGAAAACCCGTACTCCAAGGAATGTTCACTGAAATAATAAGCCTTTTTGTTTACCCTCAACTGGCACTGTATGACATGGCAAATCAATTTGTGGCTGTAAAAATTCTTTGCTCCAATAGAGCTTAACCTATATACAAGAAACAATGCGGACTCCAGAATCAAAAGAAGCCACCTAACGTCCATATTTGATGATCTTTCTGCTTCAAATAGGTCAATAGCGAGACAACCATGTGGATACGACTGCTATGTCTGCGTTTCAAGTTTTACGTCAGCTATCGCCGTTTGGTATTCCATCATGCGGCTAAGCGTGTCTATGTCTGGGTCCGAACCTAGACCACATTGTGTTCCAAAGATTAGTAAGCAAATACGTTACCCACTAAGCTATTACGGGGAGTATGGCTATCGTGTTCATCATTCTCTTTCTGGTATAGTCATACGACAAATTCTAGAAAATGCCATCTAAAATAATAGATCCGGGAGATTTGATCGTCCTCACTTACGCCCCAGTTACGTCCACAGTAAAGTGCCTGATCGTTTTCGATCTTTCTCTAACGAAAAGGTTGTTCTAACCGATTCAAAAATCACCCGCAGGGACCATTGTTGATCTGTTTATAATCTCAAGGTGGTATGTACTGCGGCGAAAAGCAGATTTTCGGGCAATGTTAGTGTTCTGGGAGCGGATACCTATTGAAAAAGACGTTCGGTAACCGTGCCTCCTCCAGAAAAATGGACACATTATTAGAGAAGTTAATTGTCCTACAAATTTTTGTGTGACTGCCCAAATTAGTCAAAAAAAGGCCACAAAATACGTTTTTTTACCAAAACGATAAATCGATTCATATTAACCGTTTAGTATAGTACTTCGTCTAAAGCAGTACTTAACGGCAGTAAACCGCAAAGCTCTAAACAGTTCTTATGCAAGACTGTTTTTTGCGGATATGACTACATTCCTGACTGAATACGTACAGCTGCCATGCAGCTCAGATTTGACCCCGTTGGATTACTAAGTATAAAGCGCGACTGAACGCAAGTCCAACGAGTCTCTGTGATACATGCCATGGTATCATAAAAAGGACGTTTTCGAAATCACTTTCTGAAATGAGCTTGTGATTGGTTTTAGCCTCGAACCAATTGTGTAGTTGAACTAAGCGTAGACTACATGAAATAACACATGAATCCCACAATAAAACATTTCGTATATTCAAAAAAATCGCTTAAAGACTCGAAAGTTCAGATGCGGTCTTAGAGGCAACGTTTAAGAATACGCTTTAATTTAGACGCTATACCATCTATGTATAGAAGGTTGGATATCTAAACTAAGAATTTTTCATATTCTTTAATCTATATCAATAAAAACAGATGTCTTAACGAAATCGTTGACATGCGCTGGAAGTGTCATTTTTGGTGGTCGTATTTACTTGATGTAAACATTTTCAATTCGAAACCTAAATCGCTCACAAGCTCGTTTAAAATTTTTACTTTGCAATTTTTGCAATAATTAAAATTTACCGGATCTGCTTTCAAGCACGCTCCACGCATGAAAATCCCATGGGTCAAACCTGAGTTGCACGGTGGCCATATGTCCCCATTATAGAAATTTCCAGTCTCAAACAGCCAGAAAAGTCTCAAATAGTCAGTTCTGTACAAACTGGCCAGTGTGATTTGGCATACCACCTTTCTAGAAGGTGTTTTTTTAGACTGTCTACGGTTGCACAACAGTTTACAGAGCATCTGCAGAAACAAATAATGCGTTAACTTTTTTGGAAGAAGTATCACAGTGTAACGTCGCACACAGGATACGGATCGTGAGCAATCCTAGGAACCGTTTCTGCGGTTGATTTTTGAATCGATAATGAATACTTTCTCATCAGGAAAAAATCGAACACTACTTGGCGCTTCATTTTTGAATTCTTGAAAAAAAAATTGCGATGTGGATTACATGACAATAGGTTTGGAAAACAATGCTTTTCGACAGTATATAATACTTAGCCATCGCAAAATAAAAAAAAAATTGCAAATAGCAAACGAGAAACAAACTAACGTTAAAAAACTAATGTTATTTTCTCGTCAACCTAATAAAATATGCTAAATGACACATTACCGGTGCCTGGATCGTGAACCTGTCAGTTATCATTGCAAAAATAGAGTAATAATGAAATGATTACTGAAAAGAAGTACGGATGCATCTACTAAGAAGAAGGAGCTGTCAGAAAGCGAAGCAAAGCAATAAGAATAAAGAATGTTATATGTAACCCTTTTTTTCAACGCTTTCGGCTGTTCCTATTGCATAGGCAGCTCTTTCATATAGAACGAAGTATTTGTCGCCACTAGGCCGCCTAGCTGGAGTAGGTATTTATGGACTTATCTAAAGTTTCTTCAATATCTACAAAATACCATAATGATGGTTTGTCAATGCTGAAATTTGAACCAGCATGTTTATATTTAAAATGACAACGCACCCGAAGGTATGCGTGTTAGCAGATCGTCCAATATATTGCCCTTTGACAAGTATATAGCTGTAATTATTTTCTTACCTGGTCCTCTGCCCATTTGATCCGGTTCAGCATTAATTTTTTGAATTTTGCTTGTTGTTTTGGGCCACCTTCAACGACTACGAGATTCACGTTGCGAAATAACAAGACACAGCCTGTCATCTGTAACTGCTTGGCATTGGTCTCCACCTTAAATCGTTTCGATTGCGACGTCAGGCTCAGGATCCTAGAATGACACAACGCAGCATTGATGAAATTTTACTAATCGCAAGAGCACTAGCTGTTACCATGTCTAGCATTCGTATGTGAAACTGAAATCTTTAAATTGCGTTAAAACATCTGAACCATGGATATAGATCTTGACTTTGACCGAATTCTGACGGGAAATTATTTATAATTAGTGAAGACTATTTTTAATTCAATACGAAATAATGGGGAGAGATAATGCAAAAGACCAGGAAACGTATATGTAAACGTGCAAGTAACATGAGAAGCAGCATTTAGCTGCTTAGGTCGTCCAAAACAGTTGCTGCGGGCCAAAATACTGCAAAACTGCAAATTTCTATGGTAGTATATCTTAATCTAAAAGTGTCCGTCTCTTCTTTTAGTTCTTATGTGAAACGCGCACCTGTAAAGCGAGACATGAACACCAAGCGAAGTGTCTTCCTGTATCTTTCTTGTCTTCTTTTCACGTCGTTGTTCATCAGTGAGTTTCCGCGCTGCATTGGCCTGTTCATGCTCTCGTTGCCTCTTTGCCATTTGTTCACGGACGTGTGCTTCTACTTTAGTCGGGTCAGCCACTTGCTGCTGTCCCAGCACTCGCATCATATTTGACATTTTTACCTTAGGTTCTGGCGGTGGCTCAAGGCCAAGACGAATGCGTTCCATTTTTTCTTTTTGGACCTATTGAGGGTAAGTGACGTGCAAGTAAAATAATGGTTCGTATCAATTCAAAAACCCAACTGCTTCACTCAATTTATCCTAATCCTTTCGGCTTATCGTCCTCATCAATTCGGCACAACAGAACGTTTTTATAGATATATTTATTATATTATTTATATATATATATATATATATATTATAGATAAATTTATTGCTTATAGTGACAAAGACTATCCTAAAGATACCACATACATCCTTATAAGCGTCATTTAAATTTTTGCTAAACCAAAAATTAATAACTTAAAGTATGAAATTTGACAAAACATGAAGTTTGTTCGATTTGCAGGTAAGTTGTGCATATAATACGTCTTCGCGTAAAAATATTCACGCGAATTCAATATTCATAAACGAGGATATAAAAGGAGCAATATTGGGAATTAAAAATTGATTAACACTGATTTAGTCATTTAACAATATGCAGCTTTTATGTTGCAGAATACTGAACCGGCAAGGAGAGACATGAGGTTAAAGCCGCAAAATTTTATTCGTGCCTACAACCACCGATTATCCAGTCAACAAAGCTACGTACCTCTCGGCGGTTTTGTCGCCGTAACTTTTTCCTTTCCTTCTTCGTAAGGAATACGGGCAGAACAGGTGGCTTTCCTGTATCCGTTGGCGCTTTCATCTGTATCGGATGTTCTACAAGATTCGTCACTCCCACTATGCTTTTCTGATTGCTACTACTGCAAGGGGTGTTTTCATCACATAACACTTCATCGTATGACTCCACGATCAGATTATCCCACCACTCAATTTCTGGCGTTTCACCTGTAACAACCAGCAAATAAACGAAATTTTATGTACAGCGTTTTTTAAACCATACTTTACGAATCAAAAGGCCATTTAACACTCATATGGGTCTAACGTACTTTATCGCTTCCCCAAGGGAATACCGCAAGCCTTTCAAGCAAGAAAAATTAATACTTTCTTTAAAACTATGAGGAGGAAGACGATCGCAAGAATGACTACCGTAAACAGTAAGTTCAAAACTGCACAGAAGTGTTGTCGTAACACAACCGCTGATTAAAGCGCATTATATAGGAAGGGGGCTAAACGTTCAAGATCGATTTTGCCCTCCTTCCCTGAATTTGTAAACCAGCAGCAGCACCTAAACGCACAGCTGCATATGAGATTTGCGGTAAACCTACAGTTTGAAGCAAAGTTTATTATTAAGTTGAAGCAAAAAAATTGTTATCAAACTGGGAAAATCATAATGGTGACGTTTCACAGATATCGCATAGAATATGGACGGAATATATATTCTTAACCAGAGTAACACTAAGGCGATCGAGTTCAGGAAGATTATGAACTTAACGAACAAGTCGCAACCTTGCTGCAGCACGGAGCAATGTGAATGCCAGCCTAATGACCTCAACACAACGCTCTGCTCAAGAACTTGTCCTATCATCAAGGGACGTTCTACTATTCATTTTTAAGAAGGAGTTGTATTTTCGTCCTTGCAGGGCATAGTTGATTCAAAAGTTAAAAATCTAAGACTATTACAAAAGTCGTTTATTCGCTGACTACATGTTGGAGCACATTGCATGTCAAAACCATTTCTTTAATCTAGCAATATTGATTAAGCCCATTTTTTTGGCTGAGTGGCTACGTGGATAAACACAATTGACTTTACCTACAAAAAGTCACTGTGTGGCTTGTAGATTGATGCTCTCATTAAGTTCTTCTTGGAGACAAACTGTTTTCCATTGCCTTTACGTCGGACGAACCTCCATCGAACTTATAAATGTTTATGTCTGACCAAAATTGACAACTGGAATTGTTGCCGGTCTCTATACAGCTTCCGAACAGTATGAGAAAAATTTTAATGGACCGAAGGAGAATATACGCTATTGAATAAATTGAGAGGTTTCGAAAATTCATTCGAAAAAATATCATATTGATTTCAGACTTCTGAAGTAAAAATTATAGATTTTTTTTTTGAATCGCGAGTACCCATTTAGAATTGAGCCACCCACATATGTCGCAAAGTTTAATTTTTTCACACATTTTGCGCTTTGCTTTTTTTTTGCTTTAATTTCTGCCTATTTTAGACATCTGGATTTTTGCGGCTTTGGCCTTTCAGCCAAGGATTGCAAAACCGCTAGATTTTTGTGCGTGGCGTGCCAGAGCGATACTTCGGTAAGCGTAAGCGCCTTCACTCACGCTTACAACTAGAAAGTTAGTGGTAAATTCAGAGAAGGAATTTATAAAAATTATTGTCACTGATTTACACCCAGAGTTGAAGTTGTACTTGAAGTAAAAGGCATATATGTTGAATAAAAATGTCCACCAGAAATGTCATTGTCTACACATGCAAATAATGCATTATAATATTTGTTTCAATTTAGAATTTGTTTACATTTAAATGCATCTGATGAAATAATCAACGTCGCGTTCGCTTCTACCTATCGTAAATATTGTGCAAGTACTTATGTTGGCGTTGCGTAAAATTTTACCTTTGATTATTGTTTCCTTCTTTGGAACAATGAGTGCAAGTGTGGTGGCGCTCTGAATACCAGTCCTTTTAGCTACAGAATGAATTTCATTTTGTAGTTTTTCAAGTTTTGCCTTCGTTCGGAGTTTCTCAGCCAGTTGCTCATACTTGCCCTAAAACAGCACGCATAATATGTGTCATAACATGATCATTATTATCTCCTAACAACTATAGCTTGCACAAATTAAAGTGACCGACTCAAATTCATCTGAGTTGCTGATACAACAGGATGATTTTTCCACAATACCTTCTCCACAAACTTGAACGTTCTTCTTGAGCGGCCGGCTGCTTTAATCTGTACTCGAGCGTCGAAGAATGAGGCGTCTTGTTGCGGTTCTTCTTTAACTGATGAACTGATTTGCTGAAACCTGCAATGTTCTCGACAGTGAAACAGCAAACGAAAATAACGCATGAAGGGCAATTGTCCGCAACCCGGAGTATACTAACTTACATTAAACCTATGTTCAACCAGAAAAAAATATTCTAAACGAAACAAAAAGTTGTCGGGAGGCACATGGTATTTTTACTGAAAATTATGAATTATGAATTCAAACCAAGAGAAACATCTAAAAATCTCACTGGTCTTTAGAAGTACATACTTGTCCTGCTTAATTTTTCTAATATTGGCTAGAGAGGTCGGTTGATATGACGGCAGTTTCACCTCTCGGCCAAGTGCATCGCGGGTGCAGCCATCTGAGTCTAGTACAACTGGCGACGGTCCTACAGGCTGTGGGGGAGCTTGTCCTGGTGGCGGTGGAGCCATTCGAGCTACCATAGCGGGGATCACTTCAGGGAGCACATAAGTATAATATTAGAAAATATCCTGTATTTTTCTCATCAAGTAGACTGTTTAAAACTTTACGTAGTAAATCCATTGGTAAAATTTAACTGATTTAAATTACAAAAGAAACACCGTCCTTTTATTAAAGGAATGGCTAAGGTTATACCTTTAGCGGCTGCACGAGCTTCTATTTGGGCTTTAAGCTGTTCGATTCGAGATAAGGCGCTGTGAGAAGTTTGGGCTGAAGGACTGGGTACGTGAGTTCGGTTATGCGACTCTGCCAGTTGCCGTTTCTTTTCCTGGATCTGACGTTTGGCCTGCTCCATCATGGCTGAAGTATGATAAGGTACGCACCAACACGTTAGTATACGACCCTGCTAAGTTGTTCCCAATAAATCGCTGCGTTAAAATTCTACGCTGAGTTCGTCGCCATGGTTTACGCCAGTTCTGCTACTATGCTTCCTCTACCTATATTTCTATAAAATTTCGACGCTTAACCAGCATCCGCGGTAGACGGTCCAAAAGTAACAGACGCTTGCGAAAAATACAACAGTTATCGAGCAGGCAAAAAACACATGTGTAAATAATAACGTTTATTAACCTTCGTTATATGGAACCTCCGTAACCTGCGTTGCTAACGCGAGGAAAGGCCCCGCCAGACCACGAGATCGCTGATCGTTGGCTTTAACGGTCCCTCCCAGTGGCGTCACAACACGGGCCGTATCACCTCTACTACGGCGGCATATCGAGCTCTGGTGATTTCAGCCCTAGCGAGCAGTAGCCAGTAATCGTTAATGCCATATTATAGAAGCTCTCTGCTCCAATTAATTAAAATAATCATTGAACCATTTCCTATAGCGCAATAGGACAATGTTCCTATAGCGCCTACAAGGCTGCTTTTATGGTGCCTTATTTACAAACGTTGCCGAACTGTGTCGATTAAATTAATAGTTTGTATGCCCACTGTTTGTTGGCGTAAATCATACTTTAAATGCTCACCTTTTATATCTAGTCCATGACCTGCTCCGGCTGAATCCTGTCTCCCCCGCTTTGGGTCCAGACTTTCATCTAACGTTGATGATCTTTTCAGCATTTTGAGAGTGCTTCTTCGCCACGGGCGTAACTACCACCTGCAGACAGTCTTCGTATTTTTACTTTATTGGGACAAATATGGAGCCTGAAAATGAAACAGCGAACGGCATAACGAATGACAAACTCGATTAGTAAACCGGAGCCACTTTTGGCTTTGGTCGCTGTTTGTCTTATGCTGATAAAAATTTAAACATAAGGTAAATAACGACCTTTTCGATATTATGCACTAAGTTGAATAAAGAAACTTTTCTGTTTCGACGCTCGCAAGACTGAATACGAATCAAAAATTTTAATTTTCAGGACGAGGCTTCATTAAATGACATTATTTAAAAAAAAATAGCTATTACTGTTATTCATTACGATAAGAGTTTCTTCTTGATGATATAACTGGTAATGTAACTAACTAGTTATTAAACACCAATATTTTGATCAGTTGACTTGCATTTTGATCTGGCAACTAATACATTTTGAAAAGTCAAGTTTGTTTTTACCTTTGGTACTTGAGCCGTTACACATCACGTCAGACAGCTCTCGCTCAACTTACTTGAGCTACGTAACAATATATAGTATGGCAATTACTTTTCAAGGCCAAAATTTAAACTATAGCCATGGCAGCAGAACAGTTGAGTTTGCCTCGTATTTCATCTCGATAAACACTTCACTTGAAAGAACCTTTATTACAACAGGTATATAGTTATGCCATTGTTTCAACTGTTAGCGGTACCATGGTTGACGACGCGAAGTATCCCAGTGGCATTTTACCTATATGGTACAAGCTCGCTTGCGTAAGCTAGCCACTGTCGTAGAAATTACGGATATTTTTTTAGATGTACTTACTTCCGCTCAGCCGCACAAAGCTTCACTTGCAACTTCAAACTATTCTTTGAGCTTTCTCAAAGGTTATGTGGTTGTTGATATCACTTGATTTCACTGATTCCGTGATACAAAGTTGTGGTTGCACGTATAAAACATCCTCAACGTTACAAAGTTCCACAGTCCGAAAAACGTTTCTGCGAATTCGAACGTCTGAAATTGTTTTGTAACCAGCATCGATACACAAAGACCATATGGGCGTGTCTAGGTTTAACTGGTTATTACATCCGCAAATTAGGCCGAATGTGTCTGCCGATTAACACAATTTTTTAGACAAACCGTTGCATATATAAATATGATCTTTAGATTAGCGTCGTTGAAAAAGACGGCGAGAAAGTCGCTACATTGGTAGTGATGTAAGACGATTAGAAGCTAGCACATGCGTTGATCGTTGATTTGTGCACTTTTGTTGTCTTGGCTTGATGATCCAGGCATTCTGTGCCTCTCAAACTACCTCCGTTTGAACAATTCTTTTTAAATCATATACTGCTCTAATACATACATACGTGCCGCTCTGCTTATGTGTATATTACAATAACTGTATGTATTTACGTGTTATTACAGTAACTAAATTATACATAATGGCACGAAGAAACTATAATTAGAGAGGCACATCTTATGCGCGCCGATATGATTATCGCTATGCGTCCTTAACTTTAATACTAAGCACTCCATCATGCAAATCTGAACGTGGCACTAGTTAAAGACTGACTGCAGTACAGAATGCATGACATAAGAATATTATTATATACAGGTCTTAAATTTATTAAATACAGTATTAAATACAGTTTAATTACTTGAAAAAGCATGCTGATGTAACCATGTCACTATCTAAATTTGTCAGACAATGCTAACGGCCCAAAGTATTTGTAATACATATTATAGGCTGACGGCTTACGGATCAGAGGAGATCACTTGCAGAAATATACTTTTATGTACATAAAATGCAATGAGTTTTCTTTTTTTTTGTTAAAATTAAAATTTGGTAGCGCTGAAGAGTTGCCATTTTGGTTTGCCGTAAGTCTCGCTGAATTTTGCTTTGGCACTAATTAATTACTTATAAATGAGTATATACTAAACATTAACTGTGCTAACAAGGATGCTTCGGGAACACCTGTATCAGATGCTAATATTGAATTAGTATAAGTTACGTGCAGGAACGCCGACCTGATGTTTGCAGCAAAGCTGTATTAGCCTTGTGTGTACCCGTAGATGCGTGCAACGAAATATGGAGATGAACAGCCTTTATTTATGTAGTGCGTACGTTGATGTAAAGTAAAATCATATCACGACCCCAATTGCTTGGCTAAAGTTCTATCTTGACACAGATTGCACAAATTATAGTCGTTGCTGAATCATCCTCAACTCTATTACGGGAGGTTTCTCGCTTTGATATTTATCCATGAGAACGTGCATGCCATAGGGGTTGTCGAATGTACCTGCTAGAAAAACGATTCAGATGTGGTAAGAATGCGATTAGGTTGGTCAGAATGTAATGGACAAAAAATCAGCCTTTCACTCAGGTGGTAGCAAGAAATTAATGTTTCATATAGCCACTATCTTTGCTGAAGACCTTTTTTAATTTCTTAATCAATTGAATTATTTGATTTGCTGAAAATGTTCAGGTCTGCTATTGAAAAACTTATCTGTTCAATGCTTAAGACCTTTATTCCTGTCAAATGTACAGTTACGAGGTGAATTCGTTCATGATCATAAAAGTTGCATTCTATCGGCGCAAGTTTCGGAAAATTCGGTGCATGCGAAAGAACGCCTTAGGATTAGATTCTTGCGAGGTGGCTCTAACGATCTTCGTCGCGTGTGGTCTAACGTTGTCCCCATTTGTAAGGCCATTTTTATTGTATCGCCTCATTTACTTGACGTAACTGATCCCTATAGAGATCCTTACTGCCCGTCTTGACCTTCTCAAGCATTTTCCTGTGTATAAAACCATTCCTGTCCAATGAAACGCAAGTCACAGTTTTTTTTCGGATGGAGATATGGCTTACCTCTGGCCTTAAGCATATCTTCTAGATGCCTTTTTTCTAGACTTCTTCTTCTAGCTTATATTTTTTTTATATCCACTTAGAGGTGTTATGTTTCGTCACCTATAACGATCTCGTTATTTCGGGCGTGTGTTGTGAGACACTAGATATCTTGTTAGAATTTGGCAAACCACCTCTGAGCGGCCTATTCAGTTATCTCGAGCTAATTTAATAGGCCTTTTCACCCCCCCCCCGGCTTTTAAATGTACAATGAAATAGTTGTCGAAAATGCATACATTGAGATAATGTTTACCGCAAAAAAAAACGAACTTATGGAGGGACGAGAGCGCCCTTAGATAAAATAACCAAGAAAATAAACCTAAGTAACGAAATAAAACAGTCGAAGAAAGCGGGCATTAATTAAATACCAACCTAATATGACAGGTGTAATGTTCAATATAATGTAAACGCGATGATTTAATAATACGGCAGATATCGTAACGGCAAAGATGAAGCACAGAGATACGTTCGACATTATTTGATGCTTGGATGCTGTTTAACCTAGTACAGTAGGTTTAAATTTAAGATGCTAAACGTACGGAACATATTGTAACGATATTCTATTTCAAAATTCAATCTATACTACTCTTACGTAAGGATCTGACGCGCATATTTTAGTTAAATTTGCGCAGGTGTATTTCACCAGTCAGTCTGCCAATAAATTGTTTTATTTCGTACATGCTCATACTTCAGCATATGGGCTACAAAGACTTGACCTTTGAAAGCACACATTTGCGGAAATCCGATTGATATGATTTGTTTTCACCGACTGTACGGTCTCGGTTATCTTCTTTCAAGTAGAATCCACTCATTCAGGCGCTAGGTTGTCTTCGAAAGCCATTGGAAAAATAACATGTCTAGCTTTTGCTAAAAACTATCACAACTTAGATTTAGTGAAAGAGAATAAATAAACATAAAATAAAATTAGGCAAATGGTGAAATTAAAATAGCAATAAATTCCAGATATGAAAGATAAGTAGAATAGTTTAGCTAATGACTAAATATGACAAAATCTCGGCGCAGCAGGATTTGACTTCAATGTGCAACGGTCGTCTTATTTAGTCTATTTGTCTATTTTTCCGTTGATTTTTGTTAGCCGACAGGAGATTACTCTCTCATTCCATAGTAATGCAGCTATGCGAGAGAGCGTCTGGTATTCCTTATATACACCGTAAGATAAAAACATTAGACATGTGACACTCACCCCTGGAAGTAAACATTCATATAAAACGCCTTCAGATAACCTTTGATAAAACTTTGCCTAGTTTCTTTAGGAGAGCCTCATGAATTCATTTTGTTAGTTTGACATTCCGCTCAAAAGGCAACCTATCTAGCCCTTGTTCCTTTCTGGACAGTTTTCTATCGTTCAATTGTTATCCCACTTGCTTTTCACTTCACATTAGTTTTTAGTCTATATATATATATATATATATATATATATATAGTAGGTTTAAATCATATATCCATTAATTGAAAAACCTTGATACGTTGTTTACCAAGGTCGACATTTGATTCACTTACTAAAGGACGAGGTAATACGGAAACGAAGTGTAGTGTTGCAGATAAAAAGCGTAATTGTATATTTAATTCACTTTCTCATAGCTTCTGTGAGTGGCAGGAAACAATGGCGCACGGATAAAAGTTTTTTTCACTCAATCCTGCTGACTTGTCGGATCACAAGCGCGTCTCCTTGTAACCCCCATCCCCTTTATTTAAAATGCTTCCGCTTCTTGTTCGAACGTACTCTCGCGGTACGTCTACTTTTAACTTTCGCCCTCTGTCTACTTATTTCTAATATCCAATGCAGCCCTGCAAATGCAAAAGCAATAGGACAAAGATGTTTTCAGAACAGTTAAACGTTGGAAATGCCGGGACAACTGTGGAGCATCTACTTTATAGATACCTTTATCTATACATAAATTGGTTTATTATTGTTTAGTTGGTTGCCTATTGCGCAAAACTTATTTCTCTTTCTTTGAAAGGCTCTATGGCCGTATGGCTGAAATGGAGTTTTCAATGGTTTTATATCCACACCTCTAGAATGCTGCTGTGCTCTTTCTACTAACTTGCACGTCGATTCACAAAGTGATCAAGTCTTAGGAAAAAAACTCTCTGAAAAACTACGTTTTAACGTCCGACCCCGACTTCGAAGATGTCCATTACTTATTCTAAGGTGCCAGAGTAAGCAAATCAATGCAGGCAGCATTGCCTTATAGAAGGAGCGGCCAGTGAATTAGAAACAATGTTGGTGAATGTTTTGAATTCCGACACATTGTCGAGTTGAGCCCTAGTTGAGAACGGAGCAAAAGTCGCCTAGAACTGGCAATGTAACCTCAGAACATAGTTCATCGATGCAGTGCCCGGCTAATTCGGAGTATTGCGGAGTATTTGCGGATGAAGACTTATTCGTATCAGTGTGTTTATGCAGTTTCTCATTGAGTTCGTTGGCGGTGAACTCGTTCGTGGTTCCATTCCAGTTCGGCAAAATCAGAAGCGAGGAAGTGCAATTAATGGCTTGACTGAACCACCCGACACCTAATTGTCTTCGGGATTTATATATATCTATATATTTCGTCAGGAATATTTCCTATTTCACCAATGAAAATTAGCAAATGCAACCCTTATCCGATTAATTTCTCTATATATATCTATAAGGCCAGGCCTATTTGAAACAGTGAAGGGAAGTATTACACACAGGAAAGTTCCACTTTCTGCCAGGGTTTGTCGGAAGCCACCCAAATACTTTTTTTCCATTTAATCTCAATCTATTTACAATGCACTGCACAGCGACAACATGCAAAGTATTGCACCTGCATTAGATTGAATTTAAAAAAAATAAACAAAGACTACCATTAGATACTATAGTAAATTTTGATATTCTGATTTTCGAACTTACCTTTTCTTGATTACCCTATAATGCCGTCCAAAGAGCAGAGGAAAACAATTCACGCCCGCGCTTGAATTTTCTGAGGTGCATTTGTTTGTTGAAACCTTAAGGGTTCGCCGGCTTTGTGTGGGAAATTGAACGATCCATACGATGAGAGGCTATTTAAGTGCCCTCGAGTTAAATCAATCTATCCTCCATTTGGAGG